TGGAGACCTTCTCGCTCTCTACAACTCCCTGAAAGGAGGGTGTAGAAAGGTGGGGGTCGGTCTCTTCTCTCAAGTCACAGGCGACAGGATCAGAGGAAACGGCCTCAAGTTGCACTGGGGGGAGGTTCAGGCTGGATATTAGGAAGAATTTTTTCACTGAAAGGGTTCTCAGCCATTGGAATGGGCTGCCCAGGGAGGTGGTTGAGGCACCATCCCTGGAGGTGTTCAAAAGACGGGTTGATGCAGTGCTGGGAGGTATGGTTTAGTGATGGTGATGCTTGTTTGTTGTGTAGGTGTCTATTTTTGTCAGTTAGGTTGACGGTTGGACAAGATGATCTTTAAGGTCCCTTCCAACCTAGAAGATTCTGTGATTCTGTGAAACCTCAGCGACACGCGAGGACTCGGAGCCAGGAGAGCAACGTGACAGGCAGTGTTACTGTCACCTGCTCAAACACTCCCAGCCAAACCCTCTTTTATACTCCTCACACTCGAAACACACACAATTTGGGGAGATAATTGAACAAATCTTCCTTCAGCGGTTTTCATTCAAGCCAAGAAAAAGCAGAAGGCCAGGAAATTGGGGGATGGCTGATTTTAAGGCAAAGCAAAACTGCTAAGTCAGACTGGACGTCCCCTAATTCAGGGCTTACAACTCCTGGCAACAGGAGGTGAGAACACATCAGAGCATTCCATTGAGGAGCCTGGATGGAGTTTACAAGCAGCAGGTTGGACATCCCACCATCCTCAGGCCCGGTTGCATCAGCGAGAGATCCCAAAGAATTACTCAACCATTTCATAAAGCGCATTTCTTAATTACGGCGTATCAGTCGCTCAATTAGGTTTTTGGCTCGTGGAGAGGTGGTGAAGGCTGCGTAACACCAAGGATTTGCTGCTCCTGAAACACGTCAAACTGTCAGGCTCAGGGAACAGATTGTTCCGATCCCTCATTCGGCAGTTTCCAGGGCAGAAGCAGGGCTGGCTCTGGGCACGCTCCCCGCCATCGTGACTCCATTAGGAAGGAGACAGCCCACCACCCTGAGACAGGACAATGTGCTTTCTGCCATCCTTCCAGTTGAAGCCTCTTGGCAGACAAAGCCAGTGAGGGTGCCAGCAGTGGCTTTGCAAGTCTCATCTTGCTCTCACTGCTGTAAGCTCATGCCACGTACGCTCCCAAAGAGGCGGATTAATAGCTATTTCTAGGATGGAGATTACTCATCCCATCACCCAGAACCAGTTCTACTGCACACACTTAATAAGTTGAAAAATAAAAGGAGCAAATGTATAGAATCATAGAATGGTGAGAGTTGGAAGGGACCTTAAAGATCATCCAGTTCCAGCCCCATGCCATGGGCAGGGACACCTCCCACCAGACCAGGTTGCTCCAAGCCCCCTCCAACCTGGTCTTGAACCCCTCCAGGGATGGGGCAGCCACAGCTTCTCTGGGCAACCTGGGCCAGGCTCTCAGCACCTAAAAAAGAGGAGGAACTTCTTTCCTGTGAGGGGTGCAGGCAATCCCCTTTCCCCTGGGAGAAGCAGCCCTTTGGCAGGGCAGCCAGGACACGTGGGTCCATGCAGGACTCTTTGACATGGACCCGTGCATAAAGCAGCTCAGACCCCTGCAATCCTGGGCACCATGAGTAGTAGTGACCTCACATTTCTGTGGGGCAGAATCCCTCCCCTCACCCTGCCAGCTCCTGTTGAGCTTCTCGCTCAGGGCTGCTCTCCAGCCGTTCTCCATGCAGCCTGAATTTGTGCTTGGGATTGCCCTGACCCATGTGCAGGACCTTGCACTTGACCTGGTTGAACTTCATGAGGTTTGCACGTCTCACAAACTGTATGAAGTTTAGAGCACAAGTTGTTTTGTCATTAAACAAACAGACTCACACACTTCCTTCAGGTACAACCACTACTCAAATGCAACTCACCATCCCATTCTTCTTATGATAATAGCTGAGGACTGGGAAGCGACTGCCGTGACGAAACATGGCAACTTTCCGAAGGGCTTCATCATCAATGGATTTGGGGACAATGACAACTGGAGGGTAGGAGGGACAGACAGAGAACTCCTTATTGATGCAGCTCAGACGCCATTCATCTGTCTGAAAAAGAAAAGAACATACAGGCTTTGGATCAAAAAACAGAGCAACACCATAATATAGTAGGAAGAGGAACAGCACAGAATACTAGGGGAAAGGAACTTCCATGTTCAGAATAATGCACGCACCAACACAGAGATATTGGTGACCTATTCCATTTGCACCACAGAGGAAAGCACAGTTGTCACTATTGGCATAATCACTTCTGTTCATGCAGGAATCTGTCTATTCATACTAATCAGATCAAATCCAGCATCATATCCAGTCTCCAACAAAAAAAAAAGTGGCAAAAGAGATGCTGGTCAAGAACAAAAACCAAGCCTGGCCACTCTCTGCTGTGTGCTCCTCATCCCCTACCTCTCAGATGTTCTGTTAGAGATATTATAAGGTATATCCCTGAAAAGTACCTTTTAGTACACATTTATAGGTCTGTTGACTGATTATTTTCCCCCCACACCTTTGATGCTGCCTGAAATCAGTGTCTCATTGCAGCAGCTCCCAGAAGCTCGTTACCCAGTGAGCAGATAAAACTCTTAGACAATGAAAGAAATTACCAGGTGACACTGGTTCTTGAGGGACAGGAATTGTTCAACAACCGTTCCTCGTGTGGTTTATCCACATCCTCAACAAACAGCACAAAAATAAGTCCACATGGTGAAAAACAGGTGATTATAGCTTTTAATTATTTCACAGACCCAGCAGAGAACACGTCTGCAGTAGGTACTATAATAAAACGTCCTGCATTCCCAAATAGCTTCAGTCTCATAGCGAGCAAAAGCATGGCATGTCACTCCCTTGGGGACATTCTAAAACAGAAATACTCCTACATCGGCAGATTTAGGGGAAAAAAAAGGCTCAAACCTCGATCTGTGCTGACAGCAGAGTTCATATCACTCTCCACAAGACAAAGGTGGCCAAGAGTGTCCACCAACTCCAGATGATGAAGCTGCTTTAAGGCTAAAATTGCAATTTAACATTTCCAGCTTGGTTCTTTTCTACGTAAAGCACCACAGTTGCTGCTCCAAAAGCACCTCCTGGAACCAGCACAGCATCTTGAGCTCAAAGGTCTTATCAGCACCTCCTGTTATATAATTTTTGAGCTTCCTGCAGCCAAACACTTGTGAAAAAATTGCTGAATATTGGCACCCTGCACCCTGGCAGGAACTTGGCATGAGAGCCCCAGCCACCCGATACCCAGGGTCAGACACAGGACTTGGCTCTATCTCAGGCAAAATCAAAGGTTAACGAGCAGCCTCAGCAATGAGGAATCCTCACACAAGTCCAGGCTGGAAAAAGGTGACACTGTCCTAACTGCAGCCTTGGACAAGCCCAGCCTTCAGAGAGGGCTTGCTGCTTCTGGGCTGGTCCCACATCACCACCTGGCACATGAAGGACACAATCCAGGTACATCAAACAGCCATGAGATACATTTTCCCCAGGGGCACACAGCAGAACATCGAATCACAGAATGATATGGGGTTGGAGGGGACCTCTGGAGATCATCTAGTCCAACCCCCCTGTCAAAGCAGGTCCACTCAGAGCAGTTTTCACAGGAACGTGTCCAGGAAGGGTCTGAATGTCTCCAGAGAAGGAGACTCCACCACCTCTCTGGGCAGCCTCTTTCAGGGCTCTGCCACCCTCGCAGGAAAGAAGTTCCTCCTCGTGTTGAGGTGGAACTTCCTATTAACAAGTTTGTGCCCATTCCCTCTTGTCCTGTCCCTGGGCACCACTGAAAAAAGACTGGACCTGTCCTCTTGACACCCACCCCCCACTGAAAAAAGTCTGGACCCATCCTCTTGATATCCAACCTTGAAGAATTTACAGGTGTTGATCAGATCCCCCCTCAGCCTTCTCTTCTCCAGACAAAAAAGACCCAAGTCCCTCAGCCTTTCCTCAGCAGAGAGATGCTCCAGGCCCCTCATCATCTCCGCAGCCCTCTGCTGTCCCCTCTCCAGCAGTTCCCTGTCCTTCTGGAACTGGGGAGCCCAGAACTGGTCCCAGTGCTCCAGATGGGGCCTCCCCAGAGCAGAGCAGAGGGGCAGGATGACCTCTCTCACTTGCTGGTCACACTCTTCCTGATGCCCTCAGGGGACCTGCTGGTCACACTCTTCTTGATGCACCTCAGGGTGCCACTGGCCTTCTTGGCCACAAAGGCCCATTGCTGGCTCCCGGGGATCCTGTTGTCTTCCTGTAGAACCTTGCCTAAAGTTTTGCAGGGAACTGATCTCATGGTCCTCAACAGCAGGATGGCAGCTTGGTTGGGCTGCATCTTCTGTCAGAGCATCCTTGTCCCATATTCCTTACGGACAACAAAACCTGCTGGCAGAAACCTGCGTGGGGGAAAGGACCTCTAAAGCCTTTACATGTTTTGATTTTAACAGCAGGATTAAATCCTTTAGAAGAGCAGCAGAATAGCAATCAAATTTGCCCCTAAAAGCTCCAGACACAAAGAAGCTAAAATGAAATATAAGAACCTTTTGAAGAAGAACAGGCAGCTGCTTTTAAGGTGGATTTTTTTAGTTCCTACGCACTGAGATGACACAGGTGTGAGAAAACAAACAAGACCTTAAGTAAATCCTCAGCTGAGGTGTTCCAGTACAGACTGGGATGCATTTGTGTGCCACTGGAGCCGGCAGGGATCTCAGACGGCTGCCATAAAAAACTCCACTCATCTGTGTTCAAAGAAAATCTCATGTAGACAAAAAGGTAGAGGATAAAGCAGGTATCACAGAAAGTAAGAGAAAAGATGACAGTCAAATTATGCAGCAACAGAATACACAAAAAACCCATGTCAATTCAGGAAGGCTGGTTTAGCACTCATTAATTACACAGCTCTGATCAGAATTCAGTTTCTTTTCCTCTTTCCTTTCTTCCAGAGACTTACTGCCTCTCACCTTACACCTCCTGACCGGTATCTGCTCATTTAAGGAGCTCCCTGCTCCAATGGAAAAATGGGATTGATTTAGAAGGGTTTTCTGAGAGTGAAGTGTTTCCATCAGATGAACAAGCTGACGTGATTCACAACACTACTGTATAATCGAAGGCACAGGATGTGTGGTGTAGGAGACAGCCAAATTGTTCCTTTTTGGTGGCAGCCTAAAAAAAAAAGATGCTGGTAAAGGTACACATTGTGTGTCTCCATCGTTAAGAACAGCAATTACTACCTGTGTTGAGGATCCGGACAGTCCCACACAAACCCTGTCATAAGCTTATTTCGTTATTCATTAGCCTCAAAACAGCTTCTCTGAACATATAAAATCTACACTTTATAAAAAGCAGAGGTTCTCCCAGATGCAAAGTGAAATTGCCTCCAGCAATCACGTCACAGGCAGAGATGAAAGGAGGTCTGGATCATATCAGGGAGGCCGGCTGGACCCAGCTCATGCTTTTAATGCACCAACAGTGATTATTTTTTTTTTAAATAGGTTTTTGGGGTGCCTACGTTAAATTACAGCAGATTTCATATGATTGTGTGCAATTAGTTTACAGTGAAATAAAATGTGTAGATATAGAATAGAGCTGACAAATACCTCCTGCCAGATAGGACGTAGAGAAGGTAAAAATCAGAACTCTGTGGTATGCTTTTTTTTTTTTTTGAGAGAGAGAGACTGGCTGTCACTGATATCCCCAGTCTGAAAAGGAATGGAAGAGCATCAGCCTGATTTATCTCCCACTTTGGTAATTTAATGCTGGCCATAACCTGCTCTCCTCACCATTTATAACAGGAGGCAGAGGATACTGTTATGTCATCCAGTTATCATCTCCCGTTACACGGGAAGGAGGAGGAGCAATTAGCACCCTTTGTCTCCTGCAGCATTGCTGCCTCTGCAGAGCTCCCTTTAACTGCTGCAACACCAGCTTCAGCCTGCTAAAACATACTCCCAATTACCAGATGATAGTAAAACCCAACAGTGCAAGTCTCTCCTTGGCTTTTGCTTGGGGTCTGTCTGCGATTTGGAAGGAAAAAAAAATAAAATTGCCATTATTAACTGGAAGAGTGAGGGAACAGCACTTCATCTACGTGCAACAGTAGATGCAGGCAGAGGAAGGAGCAAGGACTGCAGTGGAAGAGAAGAGGTGGACTTGTCTTCAGACACCACCAGAGAACTCCAAAGAAAAAAGGAAGTAGTCCGAAAGATTTTCTTAAATACACAGTACAGGATTAACTCTTACATTTCTATTTTTCTGGTCCTAGTACTTCTTCAGAGATACTGATTTTCAAACGATACTGAAAGGTGTACTCACCTTGAGTACTGTGTCCAGTTTTGGGCCCCCTACCATAAAAAAGACATTGAGGTGCTGGAGCGGGTCCAGAGAAGGGCAACAAAGATGGTGAGGGGTCTGGAGAATAAGTCTTATGAGGAGAGGCTGAGGGAGCTGGGGTTATTCAGCCTGGAGAAGAGGAGGCTGAGGGGAGACCTTATTGCTCTCTCCAACTCCCTGAAAGGAGGGTGTAGAGAGGTGGGGGTCGGTCTCTTAAGTCACAGGT